AGCGTGTGTTTCTTCGTTCGAAGTTGCTGAGTAAGGTAGCTCAAATCCAACGTCGAGGATTGATGGAAGTCATTTTGTTTCGAATTTTCCCGAGGTACGTAACTTAAGTATGAATACACATTTAATATAAGTACAGTGTCTCGCCGTTGCCCTCGAAAATCAGGTCAAACTGCGGAACAAGGTACAAAAAGGAAGAGTATAGGGTACAGAATAAGACTACTTCTCAACTGCAGCCGCCATGACAGTTCTTATTGCAGCAAGGAACTTTTTGGAGCAGCAGTGAGAAATTGTTAATCTAATGTTAGATTATTGATATTTGTGTGCGTATCCATCGCTTTTTGTTTCTATACTCGTTTTTACTCTACATGCAATCATTTATGCCCACAGCATGTCAAAATTAAATTTGCTGTCAATGGGCTTATTGATTCCCTGACACACAAGGTTTAAACTTAGGCGACGTCATTGTGTAATGCACTTAAGCGAGAAAATTCCACTCAACAATGTCCCTCTCCATCCAGGAATAAAAGTCATTTAAATAAATACCACTGAACTGTCGAAGAAATCTAACAAAATACTTAAGGGAGCTCGGCTCATCCAGGAGAAGAAGCGGAGGCTCCAAGTATCTTCACACCTCACTTAACAGAATATGCTCCATTAGCAGCAATGGATGTCATAATTAGTTTTGTGTGCATGGATTGGCTTTTATCTCGCATCGCTTTTCAGAGGATTTCGAATGTAACTTTACTTCACCGTTGTTTGAGTTCTTTCGATCTAGACAACAATCTTTATTATACACGGTAAACTGAAGTACATGTATTTAATTTAAGATGAGTATACTCCTATTCGAAATCGATTTGAACTGTATCTTTTATTATCTTTCTCTCTTCAGCACAACATCAAGCATAGAATGAGAACAGCTCGAAATAAGACATTCGAGGAAGGAAATAGAAACTTGAGAATTTTTTCTAAGGTAAGTTTTTCAATTTTTTCAAAACGAATTAGGCGCTTGTACGTCTTATCTGTTTTGAATGCTTTCACTCCTTAGATCTCATCAGTAATTCTCCTTTCTGTCTTTCATACAATTCTTATGATGTTAGTTTGGAGAATTTGGTGTTGGATCAACCAACAGTCCCCTTGATATTTTTCTCTGTTCTCATCAGTTGTCTGTTCGACATTAATAATAAATAGCTAATGATTATCGTGCATTAAAATACATCTTACCTACCTAGTGTAGCGACAGTTTAGCATATCAAATATTCCTTTAATTTCTATATATTTTCAGAGAATACGGATCCTGAAAAGGAGTAAAAAAAAAGGAAATGCTTCTTAAAGGTTGATGTCACTTATATTATTATTATCAGAGGTTTATCTGATAAAAAATTATCCGTTTTGTTTTTCTTTCCGAATCTGAAAAAAGATACCTTTTTAGTTATTACGAGTACTTATCTAAGGAAAAGTTTTCTTGCATTTTTTTCTTTCTCCCAAGGCAGCGTCAACCATAAAAAAAAAACCTGAGACTCAAACGAGACCAACTATAGTTGACAACATATTAGAGAACTTATTCTACAAAGATGAAATTTTTCAATTTCAAAATTGATATTTTATTTTACTTGCAGAGTCCAATGGGAGAAATATAAACTACGATGGGCAAGGAAGAATTACAAGGTTACAATGATGGAATAAAACAGAATCTGAGTGATGTGAGTGAACTAAGCAATTTATTGTTTTGTTAGTAGTTAAAAGCGATCTTTAAAAAGGAAATTTATACAACGTCGCCAAAATACTCAGCTAAAGTTTCCTTAATATACAATATGTAGTAGACATAACCTTTTTTATTTAAACGCAAATAAATCTATTTTAAAAATACTCAATAAATGGTGCCATTGATTGAACTATTGCAAATCATTTAGTTGATGTTGTGTCATTTTACAAGTGTCTTCTTTTCTTCTGTATTTGTTACTGATGAACTCCAGGAATACTCCATATTGATGCCAAAAAACAAAGCCTGAAAATCAAACTATTGTACATGTAGATTGCTTTTCTAGTCAAGTTCTACCTTTTCAGACGAATGTTTCGCACCACCAAACTTAAAATAATATATATTAAGCGACACAGAATTATTTCTTACACTAAGAAAAATAAATCTTAAATTCAAAAAGGACCTCTCTCGACTTAATAAAAATGTAACATAAAAATAATCCAGACCAGTCAAAGACATTTTCAACTAAAAGAAGATTATTGGAGAAGTCGTTAATATTGTGTGTTAATTTCAAATTTTTATCCAAAATGTAAACAGGTAAATATCAGGGTTAAGTTAAGAATCAATTGTCGCTGGTTTGGCCAATCTTTTTGATTATCTGTGACGAAACCATAAGTAACGCTTATGGGAAGCCACCCAATACCATCAAATTGTCTGACAAATATCCCTTTCACCTGACATCAAATAAAGATAGGTTACTTGGACAATGAGGTCAAACGTCGGGTATGCAAAAGGAGATAAATTTTGGGCACCGTGCGCCAATTTCCCGCGCAAATTTTACGGGGAAAACTTAAGAAACAATTGCTGTCATGTTCAGAGAAATCTGTAAAAGGAAGAAAAATAGGGGAAGGAACACTCGAGTCTTTTAGAACACAAAGCTTATTCAAATACGGGCATCCTGTTGATTAATCATTCTGTTTAAGCTCAACCAAAATAGTTATCCGCCTCTAAAACATCGTGACTTATTAGCTTGTGTAGTTGTTTGTAACTTTTGTGAGGCAACTTGGTTTTGACAGCCTGAAAGCACACTACCGAGTAATTTCAACGTTCGCACATGCGCACACGTTTGACAGCTGTGTTGGCCTCTAAGACTCTAAGAGCACTAGTGGTAATAGTCAAAAGAATGCTTATAGCTTATTTGATGAAGAGGAAATCAACCGTGTGCATTTTGTGTTATTCAGTCAATTTGTTTCATTGGACTTGCAGTGTCAAAAGAAGAGGATTCAAAGAGGATTGGATAATGGAATGGGAAATGAACAGAGAGATAAAGGAGACCTCGGCTGAAAGTAAGTTATTTGAATCATTATTTTACCGATAATTCAAAGCAATCCATTACAATAGGAATTAAAAACGTCACTTCTGATGATTCTGTCACTTTTTCTTGTCTCGTTTTTGTTGGATAAATTTCCGAGGGAATGATAATAGATAACAAGAAAATGATAACTTTAATGAAAAACAATATGATTTGACAATTAAAACTACCTTTTACATTTTCCAGTATAGAATAAAAAGCTTAGCTTAAACAAAGTGTGCAGTTAAAACAATTTAAAAGGTTTTCTTACGGAATTCTTTGATCATGAAACTTGTTTTACTCAAATCAAGTAGATAATTATAACTTGTTGATATCACTCCATATTTCACTTTGTCAAGTTTAGAGTTCATAAACAGCTGTAGCCTTTCAATTAGAAAACTTGTTAATATCACACTATATCTTCACTTTTTCAAATTTAAAGTCCATTAACCGCTGTAGCGTTTTGAGGTCCTTAATGGATACAAAAAAATTGGTATCATCTGCAAAAAGTGTGAAATTGAGTAATTTGGTAATTCATTAATGTAAAGTAAAAATAAAAGAAGTCATAAGGAGCTTCACCGAGGAAAACCACAGAGCATGCAACAGATAATGCATGTAATGCAAGTAGTGCAAAGCAATCCATTGCAAAAACAATTTAGAGAGGGAGTCAAGATACTCATTAGTATAATTTCTCAAGTGGCTATAGAGATTCTCGTGCTCTGATTCGTCTGCCTATAGCAGGGATGCCAAATTTCAAAATGGCTACCTTGCCTTTTTTTTTTCGATTTAACCGCGGAAGTGATAAACTTCAATTTCAATTCCTAAGGGCATAAAAGATGCTACTAGGTTTGGCCTGATACTTTTCAAAAGTAGAAAAAAAGTTTTTGCTGTTAAATTCTAGTGGAACCTAGCCCCTTATCTCAATACGGGCAATCAAAACACTTGTAACACTTCCCAACTGGAAAATCGAATTTTCTTTTCAATCGAGCAGACTAGAGCTAAAAGTTGCAACTTTATGGAAATTAGCGATGCGCTCCCGCAAATCTCAAACATCCTTGAAAGGCACAAGCTTACCAGCTACCATTAGGAAAGACCTACAGTATGAGCCTCACTCATCTCTGCAAGCATGCTACAGCAGTTAAGATAGGGCAATTATAGTGTTAGGAACTATTTTAAATGAGTACAATTTGAAAAAAGGTTTTCTGTGAATGTCGTGTGGTGTTATCAGGGATATGGTTTCTAGATTTTCAGAAGGAATTTTCTGCAGGGACATAACAAAATGTTTTTTTTCGGATTATACTTTATACATGTAAATCATTAATTTAATGTTTCAACACGAGCAGCAAAATCAAGGTTAACATCTTTCGAATTCAAGAAAAGAGAATTTATCAGTTAAGCTTAATGGACTTGCTTCATTGCTAAGCAGAGCCTCGGCCCTTTTTGCAGGAGAAAAACCTTTTCTGAGGGAAAGAGGATTTCACCAAAAAACGGAATTTCTAAACATGGACGGTACTTGTCATCTTTAGTCTTGAATGTTTAACCAGGTGTAGCTCAAAACTATTGCTGAAAAAATCATAGCAAAGTCTTTTAAAGTGAAATACACGATTTAAGAGATAAGAGACAGGCAAACTATGATGGGCAAGTAAAACTTACTTTTCATTGATAGAGGTAACTTGTGCATTTACAGATATACACAATAATTTTCATCCTTAAGTGGCTTGTGATTCAAATGATATATCCGTCATCGAATAGCTTTTTAAACGAACAGAAGATATTATGGGAAATCAACAAAGCGAAGGACTTTTTTTAAATGTTTTATTTCTCCCACGATTTATCTGTAACAAAATCAGGCACGTTCCCCATTTTAAAGGTTCCTCAAAAGTCAATTTTGTTAAAACACTATAAATTCAAAAAAAGCCATAATATTATCAAACTTTGCCTTTGCAAGTCTGCTACATAAAAATAGACTAACAAAAAAGTAGACGAGCGAGACTTTGACCCATAGATGCAAAATTAAAAAATGACCTTGTTCCACAGAAAATGTTTCTTGTCCTTAAGCTTTTCATCGACAAAAAGAGCGGATGTCATGTATAAAATTTTGCCGCAAAGTTAAGGTTCTCCTCTCCTAAGTCATGTAGCCATGTGCAATGTGTTGAAAAATGAATTTCTAGTTAAGGAAGCTTTCTTTAGTATGTTTTTTATTTCATTAAGAGAGCAACAGGTTTTTAAATAAAGATACTTCTCAAATTGAATACAACCTTTTTTTTCAACAAAAGGAGACCCAAGGATAAAAATTTTAAAAATGCATTAACGATAGAAATTTGTTGGTTTTTAAGGAACAAAAGCAGTTTTCCTTTTCATTTTGTTTTTGTGCGTCATCCTGTATCGTTTTTAGCCTTTTATATTGAAGTTTTAGAGGAGAGATTTGGATGTGTTCCCTCTGTGCTCCAGCTGTTTATCAGCCTATCTGTCTTTAAAAAGCGAAAAGATAAAATTTCCTTTTCAAATTGTACGGATTGCAGATAGTGACCTTTCTTTTGCTACTTGATAATTTTTACACAGGAGACAGAAAAATTTAACCAAAAATAGGAATTTTTTGAAATCGAAAAATGTTTGTTGGACAGAGTAAAAAGTTTTGTCAGTGAATAGCTTAAGACCAAAATAAAAATATGAAACTTTCTTAGTACCTTTAAAACAAACTTCTAGAAGTTATTAGAAGTGTTCAATATTAAAAAAGGTTACACTTTAAATAAATATTAACAGTATTTATTTTCTTAAGGATGCACTTTAACTCTTACAGCAAAGAGGAAATTCTCTGCAACTCTCATGTTTTTATTTTTACATTTAAAATTTTTTCCCTAAGATATTCTTCTTTTATGATGATTACTTTTCCTTTTTATTCGCGTTTCTGTTCTTGAGGTAATGCACATTGCTTGGCTCGTTCGACGACCATTTCCTCCCACCGTAGTTTAAATTTAAGTTGTAACTTTGTAATTTAGAGTAGCGTTAATCTTAAAAGGAGCAGAAATGTAGTTAATTTTAAGAGCATCGAGAATTCTTTTCCGAAAGAGAAAATTCAGAAGAAAAATTCTCGGAGCTCTTAAAATCGAATTAATTTCTGCTCCTTTAAAGATTAAAAGGAAAAAGAAAATCGACCAACGGGGCCTTGAGCCCCTTGGAGATGCTTTGGCAACTTAAATTAAACGACGGCGGGGATACGGCCGTCGTTTAATTTGAGTTGTTAAACGTGCACTACCGCTAGACCACGGAGGCTTTTGGTAAGAAAGTCCAGCAAAATTACACTAGAAGTAGATTGGGTCCCATTGTTTACAGAAACAATAGGTTTTGATTTGTGTTTGATTCTAACTTCTATCATCCTCCTGAGACTCGTAGCTATCGTGTTTACCTTGCATTCTTTTTTCTTTTTTGCAGGTTGCTTGAATTTCATAATGGAAGAAAGAAATATATGAAAGTCCCAGTCTATATTTAAAGCAATAAAAATAATTTTCGAGTAAAGTAAGAAACTGTATTTAGGTCCTATTTTAGCAGCGAAAGTAGATGTTAAATTTATTTCAAGTGTTACTTTACTAGATAAAGAGTGATAAAAATTGTGTCGATATAAAACTGTGAGTGTGTAAGTAAATAACATTTTTTTCTGTGACTTAAGAAGAGAAAGCAAAACGTCTGATGAAATTTGCTTCGTTTGAAGTCGTTCAAAAAATTTAATCCAAAAGTGCAATTGAAGTAAAACCTTTTTTTTGTAAGAATCCGGCTTTCAATGTGCGTTTAAAGTCGTACAAAAATATGTCAAACTGTGGTGCAAGTGGAGAGTTGTTTAAAATCGGTGAAAGTTTAGCAGAAGTGCTGGTAAAAAGTCGTTCACAAATCTGTCAAAATCTAGTAATGCAAGTGAAAAAAATTTGAATCTGTCAAAATGTAGAAGTAATTGCGAGTTTCAAGTCGTTCAATGATCAGCCTAGTTTTATTAGTGCAAATGGAGGGTCCAAGTAACAAGTCGTTTTAAAAATATGTGAAATGTAATGCTAGTGACCAGTCGTTCAGAAAATCTATTAAATAATTAGCCTGCCTACACAGATCTATCAAGTTTAGCAGTGCAAATAAAAAGTAGGTGAGAGTCAAAATAATTATTCGGAGAATCTGTCAAAGTGTATTAGTAGTAGTGCAAAAGAAAAAGTCGTTTTATAATCTGTCAAAAGTCTAACAATAGAAGTACAAATAAAAAATCGTTTCGAAGTCTAGCAATAGAAGTGCGAATAAAACGTCGTTTTTAAATCTGTCAGTCTATTAGAAGTAATGCAAATAAAAATGAGTCATATGAAAATCTGTCAAAGTCTAGCAATAGTAGCGCAAGTGAGGAAGTCGTTTCTAAATCTGTCAAAGTCAAGAATTAGTTGCGCAAATAGAAAGTCGTTTCAATTCTAGTGCTTGTAGTGCAAATAGAAAGTCGTTTTTAAATCTGTCAAAGTCTAGTAATACTAGTGCAATTGTAAAAGTTGTCTCTAAATCTGTCAAAGTCCAGAATTAGTGGTGCAAATAGAAAGTAGTTTCTAAATCTGTCAAAGTTAAGTACTAGTTGTGCAAATAGAAAGTCGATTTAAAATCTGTTGAAGTCAACTAATAGTATTGCAAATAGAAAGTCGTTTTAAAATCAGTTAAAGTCTAGCAATAGTAGTGCAATTGAAGAAATCGTTTCTACATCTGTCAAAGTTAATTACTAGTAGTGCAAATAAAAAGTCGTTTCAAAATCAGTCCGAGTTTAGTAATAGTAGTGCAATCATGGAAAAGTCGTTTCAAAATCTGTCAAAGTCAAGAACTAGAAGTGCAAGTAGAAAGTCGTTTTTAAAACTGTCAAAGACTAGCAATAGTAGAGCAATTGAAAAGTCGTTTCAAAATCTCTCAAAGTCAAGAACTAATGGTGCAAAAAAGAAAGTCGTTTTAAAACTGTCAAAGTCTAGCAATAGTAGTGCAATTGAAAAAATCGTTTCAAAATCTGTCAAAGTCAAATAGTAGTTGTGCAAATAGAAAGTCGTTTCAAAATCAGTCAGAGTTTAGCAATAGAAGTGCAATCATGGAAAAGTCGTTTCAAAATCTGTGAAAGTCAAGAATTAGTACTGCAAATAGAAAGTCGTTTTAAAACTGTCAAATTTTAACTGCAATAGTAGTGCAATTGAAAAAGTCGTTTCTAAATCTGTCAAAGTAAAGAACTAGTAGCGCAAATACAAAGTCGTTTTAAAACTGTCTAAGTCTAGCAATAGTAGTGTAATTGAAAAAGTCGTTTCTAAATCTGTCAAAGTTAAGTACTAATAGTGCAAATAGAAAGTCGTTTTTAAAACTGTCAAAGTCTAGTAATAGTAGTGCAATTAAAAAAGTCGTCTCTAAATTTGTCAAAGTTAAGTACTAGAGGTGCAAAAAGAAGTCGTTTCAAAATCTGTCAAAGTCAAGTACCAGACGTGCAAATAGAAAGTCGTTTCAAAATCTGTCAAAGTCTAGTAATAGTAGTGCAAATAGTAAGTCGTTTTAAAGTCAGTCAGAG